AAAAAAAAAAAATTTCGGGAAGGGGGGGGTTGGTGTGTGAAAAAATATAAATAAAAAGAATAGAAAAAAATAAAAATATTGATTCAATCATATCTTCTTCTGGGACCACTTCCTGCAACTGAGGCGAAAATCCTTGCCAAGCGTGCCGAAAAGTCATTGCCAGCAGGTGTTCCGAATGGCTCACTCCTAGTCCTTGAAGGTCCTGGTTCAGTCGCAGCACATGTTCTCCGAGAAACAGCAGGTTGGGGAGGAGAAGGTGGCGGAGGGGGTGGAGGGGGGGAAGTAAGACCAGAGTGGTGAGGCGTAGGAATCGGGTGATGGTCAGGCGGGGCCTGATGGACAACAGGAGGGGGCTGATGGTGAGAAGGTTGGTGAGTGGGACTGTGGGGGCAACATGTTGTGCAGGGAGAATAGGTTGAGCGGGGGCAGGAGCGGGGGCAGGAGCGGGGGGTGGAGGGGGACGAGCAGATGGGAGTGGGGAGTGGTGAGGGTGACTCCGATTATGAACTGGAGATAGCAAGGTAAGAAGAGTCGTGCCTTGCTCTTTAATTGTCTTCAGACAGTTCAACATCTCCTGAAACAGAAGAGAGTGGGTGTTCTGTGCCTACCGTACACTGTCCAGATCCATGCATAGCAAGCCAGAATCCAGTGGAGAAACAACGTTCTCAACCCCCTGTCTGCCGACTGCCTGTTGTGGAGGTGCCTAATTAGTCCCAGCCATAGTCACCTGGTCTCTCTTTCAGTTGTCGCTTCCTTTGCCATTCTTGCTGACCTCCCCTTCGCTGGGAGGTTTTCCCGATTTCTCTACCTTTTCCCAATTCTTCTGAGGAGTGCTTCCTATTTATTTCCACAGAGGAGTGCTTCAAGTTCTTTTTTGCTTCCATTTCCTACATTTGCTCTCTAACTAGTCGCGCCATTCTTGCTTCTCGTTCAGCTTCCTTCTTCTCCTCGGCTTCGGCCTGTCTTTCCTCTTCTTCCCGAGCAAGCCTCACTTGCTCTTCTCGATATCGCCGATCTTCCTCTTCTCATCGCTGTTCTCTTTCCTCCCGCCGGTTATTCCAAATTTCCCTGAGGATCATCATTGCCTCCCCATCCGATCCTGGATCTCTCTGTCTGTTCCATCCACTAGCATTCGTCCCGCCGAACGGGGCTCGCGGCGGTTGGTAAGGAATTATCGCCGTCGAGTTGGCTGTCGTGGCCGAACTAGAAGTTGTCGCGCCTGGAGCTTGGAGCAGTGGCGGCTGGACAGCTTGAGCCTGCGAAGGGAGGGGAAGAGGAGGAGGAGGGGGTAGTGGGAGTGGAGGAGCAGATGGGGCAGACGAAAGAGGAGGGGCTGATGGTGCATGAGCCGGGTTATAAACCAGCCATCCCTCCACGTACGCGCCATCCTGATTCGGATGCCCGTTCCCAAAACCACCGTTCCTAGGCGGATAAGGACACCAGCAGGCATAATGCCCATGTAACCCGCAGTTGTAACATTGGCCTATCCACTGTGCTGCCCACCATCTGCCATCTGGCAATCGCGTCGTCACGAAACCAATTCACACCCTTATACGTAACCGAACAAACGTGAACAAAATCTGAACTCTGTCACCATGGTCGAAGTCGACGGATCGAGAGTGGTGGGAAAACCCAAGAAATCGAGGAGAAGAAAAAAAAAAAGAAAAAAAAAAAAAGAAAAGAAAGGAAAGAAAACAAAGAAATCCAAGAAAAACAAAGAAAAGATTAAAACAAGGTCGATAAATCAGAAGGGATACCCTATTCTTGGAATGAAAGTTTGCAAGTAAGATAAAAAATTTTAAAATTGGAATGATATTTTTTAAGATGGAATGAAAATTTGAACTTTAGATTGCAATTTTACTATTGAATGACTATTTAATTCTGGGAATTTTTTTCGTTGGAGAGAGAGAGAGAGAGAGAGAGAGAGAGAGAGAGTAGAAAGAGCACAGGAGAGCAGAAGGTTTACGTCCTCGAAGTGCGATCTCCTTAGTATTTCATCCGAGTGGCCTTCCGAAGTACATAACTAGCGCCTCCACCACACCGTGTGTAGCATTGTGGTTAAAACGTTTCATTCGAGGCATCGCGGCCGTGGCCAGCCATGCGACGGGGCGGAGATTTGCAAAAAAAAAAAGAAACGAGTGCCTTGCTCCACTATTCTTGACATGCACAAAAGACAAAAACCATGGCGCTGTATTTTTCCATGTTCTAGCAGAAAATTCACTCTCCTTTTGCGCATTTCGAAAGAAGTGGAGCGAGGGGGGCTCCACTACTCTCAAAATGTGCAAAACGAGAGTTAATCTTCCGCTAGAACATGGAAAGATGCTCCGCGACAGTTGGAGAGTGATGCGCCAGCGCTAGCGCCCTGACGCTGGCGGACCGGTAAGACCCGGTTCCCCCGGCTCGACTAGTGCCTGGGCAGGGGAGCTCCTCGGACGCTGCGCCTATGTGCATGACCAGCAGATGGGTGTGGCTCCTTGATTGGCCACGTGGCATCTGTTGTTGGTGACGTGGCTCGCCGAGACGCACGGGCAAGGGTAGCGCCAATTGTGAGAGAGACGAGGACATAATATGGGCGCAGCTGAACACGATGGAGCGGTGGGGGAGTTGCAACATAAAGATATTATTTTCTACACAAAAGACGACGTTTCGTATGCAGAGGATAGTGGGCTCGACGACGAGGACGTGGTCAGTTACTATGATAACCTTTGTGCAGGGTGTGTGGATTGGGAAGTAGATAGTGAGAGGGGCCGTGAAGGGGATGTGTGGGACAGCGATGAACATGAGGGGAGGACTGGCGAATGGTGGGAGAACCTGATGGCGCTTTGTTCTCAGGACGGCGCCGAGAATGCTGACGTCGACGGTGTCACTCATCTGCAGCAGGGTAACGGAGAGCAGGCAGGTGAGTGGGAGGTGGAGCAGGGGTTCATGGCAGAGGCGGTCGTTGTGGTGGAGAAGAGGCAAGGAATGGGCGCGATCGGGGATAAGGGTTGGAAGGTGGACAACAACAATAACAACAACAACATCAATAACAACAACAACAACAACAGCGATAACAACGAGCAGCGAATGGGCGAAATGGGTGAGACAGGCGAGAAGGATGATAACAACAACAACAACAACAACAACAACAACAACAACAGCAACAACAACATCAACAACAACAACGACGATAACAACGAGATGAAGGAGATGGGAGAGAATGATGTCAGCAACAACAACGACAACAACAACGACAACAACAACAACAACAACAACAACAACAACAATAACAAAGACAATGATGACAAACACATGGATGAGATGGGAGAGAATAATAACAACAAAAACAATAACAATGACAACAACAACGACGGTGAGCTGGGATTGGGTGAAATTGGCAAGGAGGGCGAGAAGAATGATAACAACAACAACAACAACGACAGTGAAAACAACAACAACGACAACATCAACAACAATCATGACGATGGTGGCGTGGGGCAGGGAGGGGTTGTTGTGCATCCAAACTCTGTATCAGCATCATGGGGAAGATGCTGCCATCAACGAGGTGGGGGGGAATTAGTAGCGTGTTGGGAATGGTGAAGTGGGGTTTGTGCTTGAAGATACGACTTACCGTTCCCCCCCACCCGTACTTGGTGTTTTCTCATGCTGATTCGTCTCCTTTTTTGGCATCAGGTGGGGATAGGATAGATGATCTCCCTACGTTGATTAGGGTTGATTAGGGTTGATCGCCGCTCATCTCTCAAAACCTCAACTCTTAAATTAGGGGTAACTAGGGCGCAATCATGAAAGCAGTTTGTAAATGCATTTCGTACTGCCTTTTTGGAGTCCAACACCGTCCCAAGTTTCAACTCCAGTCGAAACACTTCACACGCATAAAAGTCGCAAGGCAGAGTGTGTAACTGCAATCCAGTCCTGCATGTGGCCTCCTTTTTTTTTTTTTTTTTTTTTTTTTTTTTTT